CCTGTTTTTATTCGTTGTTTGTGAGTACCATTCTTTTACTAAATAAATTTTGGTTACTGAGGTAATGCGCAAGGTTGGTGCGCTTCTTTTTGTTGTTCCTCTTCACATCACCCTTTAATAATCAGTGGGGACCCAAGATACTGCATCCCTCTTTGTGAATGAGTAAGAAGTCCTAAATAACCTTAATCATTCACAAATGTCTGACAAGTTCTTTATTAAAAAAGTAAAAATCCCCCAAAACTATCCCTCATAATAACTCAATCATCAATTTTGTGAGTTTTGTGAGTTTGGGCAAGTACACAGGGGCCTCATGATCCCCTATTGCCCGGGGCCCCGTGAGTTGTCAGTCTGCCCCTGAACACAACCAAAAATGCTGAGAACATGCAATACAATTACATACACCCAGCCCAAAGGATGAGACCCTTGTGCTGCAGAGCACGGCACCTTCTGATGGATGAAGGTAGAAAGTGTAGTAATTTACCTACTGGCGGGCACAACTAAGCTGCCACACCTTACCTGTTATTACCCTAAAAGAGCAAGAATCAGTATATGGGTGTATGGTATGGGCTAGCCCAGGGGTGGGCAAACTTTTTGACTTGAGGGCCGCAATGGGTTCATATATTGGACCCAGGGGCCGGACCAAGAGTAGATGAATGATGTGTATGTGTCATCCATAGTAAGTATAGTAATATTCCCCCATAGTAAGCATAGTAATTAATCCCCCATATAGTAATTCATCCCCCATAGTAATTCATCCCCCATATAGTAATTCATCCCCCATAGTAATTCATCCCCCATATAGTAATTCATCCCCCATAGTAATTCATCCCCCATATAGTAATTCATCCCCCATAGTAATTCATCCCCCATAGTAATTCATCCCCCATATAGTAATTCATCCCCCATAGTAATTCATCCCCCATATAGTAATTCATCCCCCCTATAGTAATTCATCCCCCTATAGTAATTCATTCCCCATATTAATTCATCCCCCATATTAATTCATCCCTCATATAGTATTTCATCCCCCATAGTACTATTCCCCCCCAAGTAGTAAGCCAAGTCCCCCCTGTGTCAATTTACTTACCTTTGCTCCGCGCGTTCCTCTCGTCGTGTTCCCGCGCCATTCCGGTCTTCAGGGCGGACTGTGAGAGGAGCCTAGCTCCCCTCACGTTCGTCACGCTGCCCCGCCTACACACATCCTGACAGCCAATGTATCACGCTCCGCGGGCCGGATTAAAAGGTCCGCCGGCCGTATACGGCCCGCGGGCCGTAGTTTGCCCATTGCTGGGCTAGCCTGCAGTGCAGCACAACAGCTTACAATCTTACACAAATCTACAGTATTCCCCCTCCAATAACTGGTCCTGTAGCACGTGCCTGAGTATTCCTTCTGAGCAAAACGCCAGTCTGGCTTGAGTTTGTGGGATTTTATCAGCTCTAGAATGTGAAATGTCGCTTTCAGTTATGAAGTCCTTCCAAAGATCAGTAATAACACTTGTGGCCTGACACAAACAGAGACCCTAACTAACTAACTATAGGCCTGGACTCAGTCTCTAGGCGCCAACACTGAAATGAGGTGCATGCACAATCTTACCTACCCAGGTCTGCTTTGCATCCACTGGTGACTCTGAACAGAACAAATGTCCCTCCAACAAGCATGCGGTATCGTAGTGTATGTTGTTTTGTTCCTCTGCTCTCATCAGCATTCCTGGCAGCAATCTTCCTTTCTCTGAACAGGATCAGGGTCTTGGACATGATCAGCTTCACTTAGCTGCAGCTCTGGTTACTGAGGGATGTTCTCACACCTGGATGCCATCAGATTCTCTGCTCACCCGGCTCCTTCATTCACCATCCTCCAAACATGGCTCCTCTCTCTCTCCTCTTCCTGTTCTCTAAACTCTGAGTCAAAACCCCACCTCTTCATGAATATAGAAATATCTATGCAGTCTGAGGCTGTGTTAGGAAAACAGTGGCATCTTGTGGCTAAACTGCAGAATGTCAGTCCAGAACATTTAATTTACTCCACACACACAGTGTTCAAACAATTAGGGCTGTTTCCCCATCTCACATGTATATCTCAGCCGAGCTGCAGATCAGGAGCTTAAATAAAGTTTTAATGTAGTAATCCACATAAACTCAAGCTTGTACCATGTGTATATCTCAGCCAAACTACAGATCAAGAGCTTGGAATGAAGATTCAATATACAGTAAATCCCTGACTTAGGAACATTTAAGCTGCAAACTTTCACAGATACAAATGTACATCATATTACAAACATTCGTAGATGCGGACAAATCACGGAAGTAGCTGACGTGTTTTCTGGACTTTGTCACAGCTGCACATTGCCACAGTTATGCTGCTATGTGCTTACTGTACAGTGCGATAATGTACTGTACAGAGCCCAGTAAGTCCAGAAGCAAGAGGAAAAGCAGTGGTGATGTGGAGGGGACTGTTAGGAAGCGCAAAGCAATAACCATGGAAACAAAAGTGAAAATAATTGAGAAATTGGACCGAGGCGAAAAGATGGTAGACATCGCTCATTCTTATAACATGAATCGTTCAACCATTGGCACAATTCTAAAGAACAAGGCCAAGATCATGGAACATGTGAAGTCTTCTGTGCCTATGAAGTCAACAATAATATCCAAAAAGCATAATAAAGTGATAGAGGAGATGGAGAAACTTTTCAGTGTGTGGATGAAGGATCAGCATCAGCGTTGAGTCCCACTCAGCTTAATGCTTATTCAAGAAAAAGCTAAAAGTCTGTTTGAAGACTTAAAAAAAAAAAAGGGGTGAACACCGTGTCCATCTTTTACTACCAGCCATGGGTGGTTTAACAAATTCAAAGCTAGAGCCAACCTTCACAATGTAAAAGTAAGTGAGGAGGCTGCGAGTGCAGATACCATAGCTGCCCAAGAAGTTTCAGCAACACTTAGAGAAGGTGCTTATTTACCCCAACAGGTTTTTAACGTCGATGAGAAAGGACTGTACTTGAAGAGGATGCCAGAATGAAGTTACATCAGCAAAGAGGAAAAGGTGATGCCAGGCTTCGCAGCAGCAAAGGACAGACTTCCTCAATTGTTTGGTGGCAATGCTTGTGATATAAAACTAAAGCCTATCTTAGTTTACCACTCAGAGAACCCAAGAGCCCTCAAAAACATAGACAAGGGCTCTCTACCTGTTGTGTGGAAGAGTAACTCCAAAGCCTGGGTTACACATGCCATCTTCCAGGCCTGGTTTTTCCACCACTTTGTCCCAGAGATAGAGAAATATTGTTTGGAGAAAGATATCCCATTCAACATTATTTTGCTGCTTGACAATGCACCAGGTCACCCCCAATTCATGGATGACATTCATCCCAACATCAAAGTAGTGCATCTGCCACCGAATACTACGGAGCTCATCCAATCTATGGACCAAGAAGCTATTGCGACTTTCAAGAAATATTACTTACGCACACTTTTTTGTCAGGCAGTGAAGGCTATTGATGAAGCAGGAACAATCTTGCAACAATTTTGGAAGGACTATAACATCTACAAGGCCATAAAAACATCAACTTTGCTTGGCTTGAGGTTTTGGCTGTCACCATGAACAGGGTTTTGGAAGAACCTTTGCCTGCAGTTTGTTCATGATGTTCATGGACTTGAGAAGATGGGTAAGGAGTCCAAAGAGGTCTTCAACAACTTAGTGAACCATAGCACGAAGCTGGAGCTAGATCTGCAAGAGGATGACTTTAAGATCTGCAAGAGGATGCTGTGCAACATGAGGAGCTTACTAATGAGGACCTGATGGAATTAGAGGCCCAGCAAAAAGACTAAGAGAGCCAAGAGGAAGATGTAACTGAAGAACCAAAGAGATTCACAACACAGGAAATGACAAGGGGATTTTCTTTACTTGAAGAGGCACTGTTAGTTGTTGAGGCACAGGACCCCAACATAGAATGATACAAAAAGGTTGCAGCAGCCGTTCAGAATGCCATCCAGTGTTCTATGATGAGAAAAAAAGAGCTACTACTCAGACATCACTGGATCATTTTTACCAGAGGGTAGACAGAATTGAATCCATCAAAAAAACCTGTGTCATCAACATCAGGTGTGAGTGAAATTCCATCTTGCCGTTCCATATCCTATTGTTGATGATCCTTCAGCTCCATCAACGTCAGGTATGGGCCAAATTACATCTTGCCCTCCATCTCCTATTGCTGATGATCCCTCAGCTCTACCATCTTCCACCTACCCTCCCTTCTCCAGTTAGTAACTCTCTTCAACTATATGCCAGTTGTGGTACTGTACTGTACCACCATTTTTAGGTAACTGTTAAAGTAAAAATTGTTTATTTACAGTTATACTGTACTGAACCATTATTTTAACTAGCTTACAGGGCACTTATACCCCCTTCCTGCCCAGGCCAATTTCCAGCTTTCAGCGTTGTCACACTTTGAATGACAATTGCGCGGTCATGCAACACTGTACCGATATGACATTTTTATCATTTTTTTGAGACAGATAGAGCTTTCTTTTGGTGGTATTTAATCACCTCTGGGATTTTTATTTTTTCTTAAACAAACCAAAAATCACTGAAATTTTTGAAAAAAAAAAAACATTTTTTCTTAGTTTTTGTTATACAATTTTGTAAATAAGTGATTTTTCTCCTTCACTGATGTGCGCTAATGAGGCTGCAGTGATGGACACTGATAGGCTGCACTGATGGACACAGATAGGCGGCACTGATGAGGAGGCACTGGTAGGTTGCACTGATGGGCATTGACAGGCATCACTGATGGGCACTGAAAGGCAGCACTGATACATGACACTGATACATGACACTGATATATGGCACTGATAGGCGGCACAGTTAGGCGGCACTGACTGGCACTGTTAGGCGGCACTGACTGGCACAGTTAGGCAGCACTGACTGGCACTGATAGGCGGCACTGACTGGCACTGATGCGCACTGATAGGCGACACTGACTGGCACTGATAGGTGGCACTGATTGGCAGCACTGATAGGTGGCACTGATTGGCATTGATAGGTGGCACTGACTGGCACTGATGGGTGACATTGAACGGCAGCTCAGATGGGCACTGATATGTGGCATTGATGTGCACTGGTATGCACTGCTATGTGGCATTGATGTGGCACTGATGGGCACTGGCACGTGGCACTGATGGGCACTGACACGTGGCTCTGATGAGCACTGACAGGTGGCACTTCTGGGGCCACACTGATCATCAGGGCACACTGATCATCAGTGCCCTGATGATCAGTGTACATGTCTACTCCGCGGAAAGCCGATTACCGGCTCTCCTCTCGAGCTGTCAGCGTGACAGCTCGAGAGGAGAGAAATGCAGATAACCGGCATTTCCATGTTTACATGTGATCAGCTGTGATTGGACACAGCTGATCACATGACCGAGCCGACATCTTCGTCTGTTTCCGTGATCCGCTGTGTCCAAGGGACACAGCGCACCGGCGATCGCCGTGCTGCGCGCTCCCTGAGCCGCGCATTCGCAGTTAAAATGGTAGGACGTCATATGACGTCCTATCAGAATGAGAGAACCACCTTGCGCCCGTCATTGTACTTAAGGTGGTTAAGATACCTGTAAAAGTAAAAATAGTTTTATTTACAGTATTTTTGTGTGTTTTTTTTTTTATGCTTTACAATGTAACAATGTAAATTTGTGTCAAAGGTGTATAAGACTCACTTTGTGGACTTACGAACAAATCCGATTTACAAATGTTCTTCCGAAACGGAACTCGTTCATAAGTCGGGGGCTTACTGTAATGATAATGGCTTTCTTATATCCATAACTCAAAACAATTCCAATGTTGCTCCTTTTCGTTTGTATGATTGGTATATGTATGAGGACATTGGATAGTCCAAAATTAGTAATGGCTGATGACCTGCCTGACCGATTTTGCCGGTCCCACCTGGCTGCATCTGAGGCAGAGGCATTCCTGGAAGATGTAAAGGAGGGTTCCCTCAGACACCTAACAGCACCAACAGGTGTTAGGAACCTGGAGAAACATGGTGTAGTTTTGCTGGAGTTCTGTACCTACGTGTAAGGAGTTTGTAGGCCCTTTCTTGATATCTGCTTGCTTGAAGCCTTGTGGGCAAAAAGGATTCTTTCCATCTGAGCTGGTGAAAAGAAGTACTAAGATCTCGTTCGCAACACTGTAGAAAGGTTAATTCCGGGGTGTCACCCATATCAATCAGTAGGACATATAAATAAGAAGAGAGTGAGGAAGAGGCTTCCTGTCTAAACAAAGCTGTTCAAAAGGGGTGAGCTGGTGTAACTGATGGTGGTCTGCCGGTAGGGATCGAAGATGTGCAGATAATTGAGCACAGGGTAAGAAATCAGGCTTAGAGTTAAAATGGTAGTCTATATCATTGCTCGACATCAATCTATGATTAAAAGAGAAATGGAGATGTCTGAAGGAATGCAGTCATAAGAATTCAGCAAATTGGGGGTCTCCCATCCCTGGCTGAATGTTAGAGTCCCTAGAATTGGGGATAGGGGGCTTGTGTATGGAGAAAGAGCAGACGTCTTAAAAACAGATTTATTAATCCTCAAAGTGGCTCCTATCGTGGGGTGTTGAGAAATAAAAATGGGATCGGAGTGAGAAGAAGTCCAATGGAGGCCCGCTAACAATGGGTCTATTGTCGCCTGCTCTAGGTCCACCCATGGTTTGCGATCTTGTGTAACACACCACTCTAGAACCCTACAAAGATGGGCATCTTCATAACATTTCACAGGGTATGGGAGTCCGATTCCTCCTCTTTCCTTTGGCAGGGATAACATGGATCTGTGTATTCTTCCGGCTTATCAGTCTACAAAAAGTGAAGGAATCATGTATGCAATTCTCTCAAGAAGCCCTGAGGGAGTTTATTCGGGAGCGTTTGGAACAGATCGATGAGACATGGCATCACATTCATTTTTAAAACATTGGTTCCGCCAAACCATGTGAATGTCTACTATTCCAATGCTGTAGATAAGATTTAAGCTTGCAAAGTAGAGGCGAGAAATTAAGCTTACAGATCATACATAGGTTACTAGGAATGTTGGTTCCAAGATAACGTATATGAGAGTCTGTCCATTTGAAATTGAAGGCTGAACTTTACAGTCGGTGTGTCATAGGGGCTATCTCTATGCCCATAGCTTCAGACTTAGTGTATTTGATTTTATAATTAGACAATTTTCCATACCAGTGCAGTTCCAACAGGAGGGACGGAAGCAAAGTGGATGGGGAAGTAATGAAAAAGATCAAGTCATCTGCATATGCAGCGAGTTTATGCGCCCGGGTTTTGATCATCATAGTCTTAATGTCCTAATGACCTCGAATAGTTCTCAGGAAGGGTTCGAGGGTGAATATGAAGATGAGTAATGAAAGTGGGCAGCCATTGCATGTCCCGTTGTGTATGAGGAAAGAGTCAGAGAGAACATCATTTAGTTCATCACTAGACATAACACTGTTTCACTGGATGAGGTGCATAATAGTACATTTACACCATGTAACAATTGTTTAACCACTTGCCCTTTGAAGGATTTACCCTTCCTGACCAGGCCATTTTTTGCGTTACGGCGCAGTGTTACTTTAACTGACAATTGCGCGGTCATGCAATGCGGCACCCAAATTAAATGTACGCCTTTTTTAATCCCACACATAGAGCTTTCTTTTGGTGATGTTTGATTGCCTGTGTGTTTTTTATTTTTTGTGCTATAAGCAAAAAAAGACTGACAATATTGAGAAAAAATATATATATTTTTGACTTTTTGCTATTAAACGTGTCCAATAAAATTTTTTTTAAAAAACAAATTTTGTAATCCATTTTTTTTACTAGTAATGGCAGCAATCAGAGACTTATAGCGGGACTGCGGCGGGCATTCTGACACTGGGTGGGAACTGTCTTGGTATCACTATCATCAATAGTGACACCAATACAGTAATCAGTGCGCATAAAAAGCACTGACACTGTACTAATGGCACTGGGCAGGAAGCGGTTAACATCTGGGGTGATCAAATGTTTAACTGTGTGCTGTTTCACTTACTTGGGCTGTGTGTGTGCTTCACTGTAAGCACACTGCTTTGTATGGCTCTGCTACGCAGAGCCATACAAAGCAGTGTGCAGGAGCTGACAGGGGAGAGATTTGTGTTGTCTATACACAGGTCTCTCCCCATCAGAGATACTCGGCGATCACTGGGTGCCAGAGAGAAATCACTGTCTGGGACCAGGTAATTGACCGCCGAGGCTGCGAATGGTGGCGCGGGTAGGGCCCCTACCCAGAACTGCAAAATCACGTATATATATATATGTGATTTTGCACACCCCTGGCGCCCTGTAGCAGTATTTCTGCTATAGGGCGGAGGGGAAGCGGTTAATATAAAAACTTTTTCACACATGTAGTGTGTATATTTACATAGTAACTTTTCTGTATGTGAGTACCTTGGGTACTATGTACCCCTTACTCGTTCATGTGGGAGGGGGAGCAGTATTTGAAAGCCCCTTATTTTAAAGGGTGCTTCCAGATTCTGATAAGTCCCCCTACACCTGCAAACCCCCCCACATCCACTGGACCAAGAATGTAGGCAATAGGCCCTTTCTTCGCCAACATGGATACAAGGTGCTTTGCCAATGGGATTCACCCTTGCAAGGGACCCTCCACATATTGAAGGTATGCGGATGGGTATGGCTCAAAAGAAGGGCCACCCACATGCATCCCCCTTTCCTTGGCAGCCAGGCTGCATGCTTACATAAGTGTAGTTTTTGAACATACCCTACATCCGTTTTCTATTTTGTTTGCATGAGGTTCCCTCTCAAAATCCTAGGTTGTAAGCTCGAAAGAGCAGGGCCCTCAAACCCCTCGTGTGTTGTATTGTTACTGTATTGTCTCATGTTCTGTCCCCCTCGCTATTGTACAGCACTGAGCAAACCCTTTGGCACTATATAAACACTGTATAATAATAATAATAATAATAATAATAAAATCCAACAGAACCACATTAAGGATAAGGGTCTGGTACTGATTTTGGGGAGAATGCATGCTGTTATGGTTCTGTTATGGTTTTTACATGGGAATTCCATACCCTCCCCCAAAAAAAGTGTGGGGTCCCCCCAAAATCCCTACCAGCTCTTATCTGACCATGTATCCTGGCTGGCCAGGAAAGGGTGAAGAGATTAATCAGCCTCCTCTCTTGAACCACAGCAGGCCCATGTCCTCAACACAGAGAGGGCATCTTGCTGGGCAGGAAAGGGGGCTACTGACAAAGCACCTAATTTCTATGTTGATGAGAAAAAAGGCCTATTTGCCATGTACCTGGTCTATTACATGTGAGAGTTTTGGTGGTGCACTTCTTAGAATCTGTAAGGCCTCTTTAAAATAAATGGTCCCTTAGATATCCCCCCCATGTAAATGAGTAAGGGGTACTCATTCCCAGAAAAAAAAAAGTTAGATGGTAAATAAACACACACCTTTAAAAAATTATATACCCCACGGGGTAAATCAGATCATCAACCATCAAGTGAAATAACACTGATCGCATATAAGAATGTTCTCCCCGTGGACTCCAAACCATGAATGACAAATACTGGGCTCACAACTGAATGTAAACAAGGAGTCTGGGAGTTGGCTAATATTATTGAGCAAATATGGTCATGGCCATATTTGTTCAGTGATGTCACCCATGATGCCTGACTGCTTGTTATGATGTATAGCAAGCTAAAAGGAAGCAGGATAATGGTTGCTAGGACATCAGCTGCTGCCTGCTTCCTAGCTACCAGTGACTTTAGTGACCAAATCATCAGGTAGCAGGGACAGACTGAGAACTCATGGGGCCCCTGGGCAATAGGGCATCATGGGGCCCCTGTGCCCTCACCCATGCTCAAACCACACCCAAAAAAGCATATGAAAGGTACCAGGAGCATCTCATGAGGCACCCTACTGACCCCGGGCCCTTGGGCAGTGCCCAAGTTCCCGAATAGTCAGTCTGCCCCTCTCAGGTAGCTTTCATTTACTTATGGTAGTAATAAATGAATGACAGAAGATTTTTGCAGCCCAAATAGTTCACCCAGTCTGCAAAACTGCATTCGGGCAGAGTTCAGTGCAAATCCTGCACTGCTATGAATGTGAATCTAATCTCTAATTGGTATTTACATTTCAGATGACTCCTTGATAAACTGTATATGATTTCTATTGTTTTTATGAGTTAGGGTATTATGTCTTTTTTTCTCATTACTGTATTAATTAAATGCTACATGTTTTAAACATGCAATGTAGCTGTTTTGTTTGAGAGGTTTGTGATGGTTTTATATCTAGTTCACCTCTGAGCAGTATGCAAGTACAGTAGGTGCAGTTATACACAGTTTGGGTAAATTCCAAAAGCAAATATACACATTTTTTAACTAAGGACCCAGTGTCTTAATAAACATGATCTCTTTCCTACACACAAACAT